TATACTATTATTATTATTACTATGTAATCATTGTTGTTGTACAAATGTTACGTAATGATCATTATGCATGTTATTGTTATTCTTATTGTTAATTACATGAATGTGTGTTATCCATATTGTGGCCATTACTATTTCGATTTATAGACAGACTGTCAATATGACATCATATGATGTATTATGATTTTTAGTATAAGTGCATGCTTTTACTGTTTTTGTTGTTCGTTCATTTTTTCCTTCTACTTCATTATTCCATTCTCATTTAAAGTCCTCTTTGAACCTAGCGTAGTTGCCATTCTCACATTACTGAGATACGCGTGCTGCTCTTTCATACTCTCAGTTGTGTTTCACTTCTACATGTATATCTGGTTAGTATGCAAATCAAATCCTGCCTTATCCCGGAATCTGTCTGTCTGTTGCTAATAAAAAATTTGAGTTGATTCCGACAACAAATTTTTGTGCAATGGGCAATTTTTGAATCACTACATCACTACCAAACGTGTACACTAGCATCGTTACTATAAATAGTATCAATTACTACAACAGACAATGATACATGTATATCATATGCTACAATAGCATAGTGTCATTGTACTATAAATAGTATCAGTGTTACTATAAATAGTATCATTTACCTTTATTCCTAAGGAAGAATGATACTATGTCTCAGTTCCAGTCTCCAGTGCATTGAGTGGGAGGGAACATTGACCCAATGAATTAAGAGCTTACAGCTTTCCAAAATTCCTCAGGCTCCACCTTATGTTTATCATTAGCTCCAGCTTTAGCAAACCTTACTTGAAATGAGAGAGAGAGGAGAGGGAGAGAGGGGGAAAGAGATAGAGGGGAATGAGGAGACAGAAGAGGAAGATAAAAAGATAGAGGATCATAAAAGATCAGAGCAAGAGGAGAGAGAGCATACAGTGACTGGTTTAGTTTCTTATTCACTCTCAGTAGTCAGTACCAGTTTTTTCTCCATCACTTACAACACCACCAGCCCCTGATACACACCCACTCATGTGACGCAGGCAAGGATCAAGTTGAATGATACTCTTCAGTGGAGTTAATCTAATGATTTCTAACCAATAGATTCACAATAGAGCAATGAAAAGGAATATTTCAAAATAAAACAAAATCAATAAAACTCACCCTCTTAAAAAAACTCTAGCAACATAACATGACATGTCACCTGATTTTGATGATAATACAATCCTGTCCATTAAACCACTAGAGAATGAGAGGAGGAGGAGAGAGTAAGGGTGGGGAGGAAAGGACAGAGAATAGGATAGAATCAGATCATGTAAATTTCCTCTTTCACTCTTATCATCACAAAATATTTTTTCAAAGGTAAAAACTACCAAATTTTAAAAAAACAATTCCATTTTTTGAAAAAAGCAAAGGCTCCAAAATTAACCTTAATATTACTTTATTACATTTTCTGATACATATTGACATCCTAATGCTGTGTAGAAAGTTTGAGTTGATTATGAGAAATAAAATGGGCAACTTTAATAAAAGCAAAGGCTATTATAGCATGTGGTTTCTAAAAATTGAATCCCAAAAATCACCTCTCTTTTTTATTAAATTCTTGATACATACATGTATTGCAAGGTTTCCCACAAAGCATGCTAAGTGAGCTAAACAGCATGAGCTTCATGAGCTGACAAGCACCACAGTACAGTACATGGAATTTGGAGCAACTTTTAAAAAAATCAAATTTGAAAAGGGTCAATTCAAACTTCCTACACAATGTAATTACATGTATATGTATCAAATAAAATTATTAAGATGGACTATTTTCTCCTCTTCATTTTTGACAAAATTTGGCCAAAATCCCTGTACAGGAATTTTGGCCCATTTTTTTAGCAACTTCAAAAATTCGTAAAAATCAAAACTTGATTAGAACCAGTTCAAACTTCCTACAAAATGAGTAAATGTACATTGTACCATAAAAAATTATAAAAATTAAAAATCCTCTCCTTTTCATTTTTGATGAAATTTAGCCAAAAAACACTTGCAGAATACATGTACATGACATGTACATAAATTGATAGGCTAGTACACATAGCCCTCTATTAATCTGCATTGTTTTGTAATCTTGGTATTTTTGAACTTTTGGTGGTTTTACTGAACTAGAACAACTATAAAAATTTGTAAAAAAATCTAATTGATCAAAATCAGCTCAAACTTTCTATGCAACATAAAAACATGTATATGCATCAGAAAACATTATAAAAATAGAGTACTCTCTTTTTTAAATTTTTTAGCAAAATTTTGCTAAAGTCTCAGTACACAGGGAGTTTTACATAATTTTGGAACAACTCAGTGTAAAAATTCATAAAAATCCAAATTTGATTGGAATTAGCTCAAACTTTCAACATAAAGACATGTATATGTACCAGAATATGTAATAAATTCTCTCTCTCTCTCCCTTACTCCTCCAAATGTCTCCGGGTACATGTCCAGTACATTCCCTGTGCTATTCACTGGTGGTAGAGTGGTCACTGGTGGATCGTATGAACTATCATAATTCACTGGAACTATCATAATTCATCTTTGCAGTCTCACAGACATAGATTGGATAGTACATTTCCAACATTTTTAAAATCTCAAGAGCATCTTGTTCTATGGAGGTCAACCAGCTGTTCTCAGTCTTTAGTTCCGCCTACAAATCACTATTAAAGTTACATAAAATGTATAATAAATTATGAGAGTGTCTCGTAATTGTTCTTGAAAAGTATTTTTGAATAAATATCTAATGGAATTTTGTACATATATTTAGCACCCTAAAGAGAGAGAGAGGGGAAAGATAAAGAGAGAGGGGGGAGAGAGAAAGAGAGAGGGAGAGATCACTCACTATACTTAATAACTATTTCCTGATACATGCCTTAGGTTATTATGTTTATTGTTCATTGTGCTGAGTAAAAAGTTTGAACGACTTTCAAGCACATTTTGAGTTAGGAGCAATTTAAAATTTGAACTTATATACTGTTTTAAGAAGCATGATCCTGTCATGAAAAAAATGGTCCTCATAAAATTCAGTCCTAGGACCAAAATTTGCATAGACTGATGTGGTCCAGGGTATTTTTTTGCAATAAAAATTGGTCCAGGACTCAATTTCAGCAACGCAAATGTGGTCCTAGCTGACAAAAACTGGTCCACCTATATGGTCCTTAGTTAGACTGCAAAAATTAGTCCTGGACCAAAATGTTACTAGAATATTTTGGTCCAGGATAAAAATTAGCATGCAAAATTTGGTCCACCAATAAAATAACAAATCACATGTCTATAGTAAGAGAATCATGATTTAGCAATATTACAGGAATTACAAATCCATTTGTCAATGTTTGAAGCTTTTCTTGGGATACAAGTAAACAGATGATACCATTCATGGCAGGAAGTGCAGTTGATCATTTCCTTTGAAAAGATTTCTGGCATTCTACAGTCACAATATATAGCAATTTCTTTCATCAGACGAACTTTGTTATTCTGTCTGCCTAACTTCCTGACAGGAAAAGGTGTAAAAGAAGCTGACGCAATGCACTTTTCCAGATGACCTCTCATTAACTGCTGTTCAAAATGGTGACTGCTTGGATGACCACCACTAGCCAAAACACTGGCAAAAGCAAGTGCAAAAACACCACAATCAACTGATCCAACTTGCATCTGACATTGTCTGTACCTGTAAAATATTTTTAAATTCTTTGAATTGTAGAAGAACAATAGTATACCTCACAACAATTGACTGGTTGCTAGTGTGTAACAGAACAGCAATTTGTTCTTGTAATTTATGTGTTAATGATGGACACATACTATCATAAATATCAACTTCATTTCCTTTACAACCAACTGTTGAAACAGTTACCCAGTGATTTTTTCCATTATATAACACCTGAAAAATTAAAAAACAGTAACTATAAAATCTATGTGCATTTACATGTATATAAATGTTACTGTTGTGACAACTGCACATGCATGGTATCATAATTAAAAATGTTTCCTAACTTGAACAAACTCTTTTCCTTGCAATACATCGAAAGCCAATGTGCGACCTAACACAACACTTTGAAATCCATATGCTCCTGTCCAGCATCAAGTAGGTGATCATTCAACCATTTGCCTTTCAGTAACACATCTTTGTCTTCCATTGTTAGTGGTTTTTTAACCCATGTTTTAGATGAATAATGTACTCTTCTGCCCTTTTCAGGAGACTTCTCAGTGACCAAATCTATTTTTATAGCAGAGCCCTTTGTAACTTCTTCTATTTTCTTCTGTCTTTTCTTAAAAGCAATAGCTTTAACTGGTTCTGTCACACGTACCTACATGGGAACAACAAAAATACATGTACATCAATATCAGTATAAAGCTTTGGTATTACTTTAACAGGTTGAGGTCGAACAATGTGGTGATTTGGTAATGGCTCTGTAACTGGTGAGATCTATAATTATGTAAATGTTTGGAATATCAATGTCAGTATTATTATTCCCAGAGTTATTAACAACAAAAGCAATGCACTTCATTTCCACATATTATAACTTTTGCTTCAATATACAATGAACAAATAAAATGCATACATGCATGTCTCTATAAGCAAAGTATAATCTAAACTTAATGTACATGTGCGTGTACCTGTATACTTTGCTTCTTAATTGGAGAAACAGGACAAGTGACATCATCAGGAAAAAATGGTGGAATAAAACGACCATTTACAACCATTGTACTAGAGAGTATTCCATTCAGTGAGATCAAACTGGTATTGCTAAATACCTATATGTATTTATGTACTAATAAATCTGCAACATGATTGAAGTGATTGGAAAAGTAATGCTCAGCTCAGTCATGCACTTATGAGCAAAAGCACTAAAGCTTACTACTATAATTTTAATTTGTGGTATAGACATGTGGCAGTAAAGCAATTACTGGCACAAAAACAAGATACATGTCCAACAATTATATTTTAGATTGTGGAGCCTGGAGGGCCGGGTTAGACCCCCAAAAATATTTTGTAGTTTTACACACAATTCCAAAACGCTTGTATTCACCAATCCCTATCCCCCAAGTACTTACTGCACCATGTTCATTACATACCTCAGAATTTTCTGATTTCAGTGATTCAGCAAATGTAGTACTTAATATTGGTGCTGTGTTTAACTTGATCAATGTAGATGAATGTTTATTGCACACCTACAAATTATTGTGAGTAAAAAGTATAACAATTAAACTTTGTACTTCATTTTCATCTTTAAAAATCTGTTCCTTTTTCCTTCTAATGACCACAAAAGAAGCACTGTTGTGTGATGTTTCTGTGTGAGGTTCCATTATTGGAGGAGGGATTGCAGAATTTTTGACCTACATGCAATTATTGTGTACTATAATCAAGAGTAAAATCAAACCTCAATGACTTTTTTCTGCACTATTTGTTTCCTTCTCTTTCTAATGGGTTGTAGATCATCATCAAATGCACTTGTGCTTACTTTCATCAATGGAGGAGGGAGTGGAGGGTCACTGACCTATAATGTAATAAATTAAAGTTCTCAGAATATTAAAAATTAAACCTCATAAAATTCTTCAAATTGCAGATCTTCCTTAAAAGTTTCATTTGTTATAGAATTTAGTTGTAAAGAATCACAATTACTTGTCTCCTCACTTTGCTACAATATTATACATGTTCATGTATCAAAAATAAATGAATGCTAAAAGAACTAATTACCTCAACCTGGAGCTTATCTTCTGCCATGTTACATGGGCGTTTGTAGATTTTAAGGTGTGCACCATTTACTCTTTTAATAATCTTTTGTCTATTTTTAAGGCGATAAAATCCTTTTCCACAGTCTTCTACAATCCCATATAGAAATTTCAAGGTTGCAACAACTGGGTCACAACCTCGCAAAGTTGTAGCAACCTAGTAACAACCTTGTATAAAAGTGATAAAGTTGTGAGCAACCTAGTGACAACCTTGTATGAAAGTGATAAAGTTGTGACTAACATGTAAGAAAAATAACGACCTTGTAACAAGGTTGTCCGAAGGTTGACAGGAAACTGAGGTTTCATTAAGTGCGCCCCATGATGATATGAAGCTATTGTTACCATATATAAAGGGACCATTGACCAGCACTTATACAAGTCAATAAAGATAACATTAATACACATCCACATCTTTATACATTAGCTACATGTATCATAGATACATTACAAGTATCTAGAAATCATTTGAAACTATATGGGATTAAGATGTCAATAATAATTATGTGTTGATAGTCTTTCAGATTATAGTTATTCTATTAAATTCATTGTACATTGTGGGAAGGTTGTGACAAGGTTGTCACAAGCCAAAAAACGTGCCAAATCCAAGGTTTTTACAAGGTTGTGACCAGGTAGTGACAACCTATTGACAACCAACTTGTTACAAGATTGCCACAATCATGCTACAACCTTGGTTTTTCTATATGGGATAGCAAATGGCCCCAACCATCTGCCGTCAAGCTTTCCCCCTCTGCGCTTCTTCCTTCTGAAATCCTTAACTAGTACAGAAGCCCCAATCTGAATAATGATTAGTAGTACTTAAGTTAATTATAATAATAAACATGAGCTTACCTTAAACTTGCAAGGATTGCTGTGTTTCATATCATATAACTTCTTTTGTTTATTTTGAGCTTTAGCAATATTTTCCTTCACCTATATGTATTACCATGCATGTGTATGAAATAATGTAAATCAAATTCTGTATATGTATAATAGCCCCAATATTTTGCTGCAAATAAATTTTGTGTGTTCACTTACATTTTCAAAAATATCTATTCGATTGTTAGTCATTACTTCTATAGCTTCAGCTATCTCATCCTGATTCATGGGAACACTAGGTGTTGATCCCTCCTGGAGATCAATCGGAAGTATGGCTTTTCTTCCAAACATTACTTGAAACGGACTGTATAAGGAAGACTCATGTCTGAGAAAAATTAATGACAATGTACAAATAAAATCCTCTACACTTAAAAATGTACCTGGAAGTATTGTAAGCAAATACACACAAATCTATGCATTCATCCTATGCATCTTTAGACTTTCCACTTAAATACTTAGCTAGCATCCTCTGAAAAGTCTGATTGAAATGTTCATCAAGTCCATTTGCCTAATTTTAATCATAATAAAAATAATAACGGGTACTAAACTAACTTGTGGGTGATATGGGGTTATTAGATGGTGCTTTATATTGAGTTGTTTCATCAGCTCACAATTTAATACATTTTTAAACTCCTTTCCTTGGTCAGTTGTTATAATTTTAGGTAGTCCCATTGTCATAAATAACTACAAAATATGAACTAAAAATGACATGCATCGCAAATGGCAGCACTAACTTTCAATAGTGAGTTAGCAACACCACATGCTTCCTTTGTTGGTAATGGGAATGCACTAGCCCATTTAGTAAAATAATCAGAAATTGTTAATATGTAACGATTGCCACTCTTTGATGTTGGACTTATTGGACCAATAAAATCAATTCCTATGTGGTGCCACGGGCTATGTACAGGAACAGGATGAAGTCTAGGTTTAACAGTAACAATTTTATCTTTAACACGCTGACATTCATCACATGAGGATACCTGCAACGGTTGGCATATTCAAACTCTCAATCATAAATACTTAACTTACGACATTCTGCACATCTCTTAACACAGCATTCCATATAAATCTTTCAGCAATTCTATTGTATGTTTTCTTAATTCCAAGATGCCCAGAAGTGGGATCAATGTGGCATGCCTTTACTATTCTCAGCTGCTCATTTCTTGAGGCAATATATTTCACCAGCTGCATAAAGAGATAACAACAAAGAAAAGATATTGAGTACTTTTAATTAATAAATAAATAACAAAAATCCCATATAAGTATAAATTAAACTCACAATTCCTCCTTTTCTTTTCATATAAACTTCACCATCAACTAGTTGCAGTGTGGCCGCTTTTTTCCTAATCACTCTTTTCATATTAACGGAACATTCAGCTGGATACTTCTTTTCTCGTGCATAATATGCTGCTGCTTCAAAAAGGTCTTCTCGTTGTCTAGTTTTCCCGCTGACTTGACTGCTAGAACTAGCGTCCTGATCACTGGACATCTTCTTGGCTGACTTAGTCAGTGGAGAAAGTTAAAGCGCCTGTGCTGCACCGTAGAGAATTGTGGCTATTGTGCACATGCGCTACGGGGGACCAATTTTGTACTGCAAGGACGAGTTTTTCCCCCGTCAAAAATTGACCCCGGACCAATTCGCGATTGAGGACTGTATTTTTCGTCACAATCCATTCATCCAATGTAAGATAATGTCATTAATCATTATAGTAAAATATTCTCTACAACATTCCATACTAGACATAATAGAGAATCCTTATTAGTGTTGTTTCATTAGTATAGACTATGTACATGTACATGTGTATCTTATGATTAATAAAACTAGTTTGTATACAAATGATAGACTGCATGAGTGATGGTAACACTTGAAGGAGACATGTCTTGATCTTAGAATCATTAATAAAGACAATTCTGTGTATGTGTGTGTGTGTGTGTGTGTGTGTGTGTGGGTAGTTGCTATATAATTAATTTCGTACATATCTTACTTCCTAATAAGGACTACCATTACTACACATTAATGAACCATTACAAAATTTTCAAGCTATACAGTAGTACAGATGCAGTCCTGATATAAAGCAATAGTAAGGTGGAGTGTAGTATGAGATTTGAGGAGATTTTATTATTATTATTGCGATATGTATATGAGAGCAGTTAAGTACAGGCCCTATAGGTGGATTTATATAATGGTGATTAGGAATTAGCAGCCATGAGTCATTGAGCATGTGAAGAATAAAGCATAATGGAGTGGATTTTATATAAGTGAATGCCAACTATGACAACTGCTAATCTGCCAATATAAATTCCTTGCCATATTCCAGCTGTATGCTAAATACTGTTATTACATGTGTGCTTAGAATCAGTTCAAAAACTATCAAAAGGACATTGATATATAAATTGAGAAATTATTTTTAGACAATTCTTGGCAAAAGCATGCATTTCTCTCCCTCTCTCTCAGTTATGGTATGTGAGTTCAGTGTATTGAATTCCTGATGTGTGGGTGGGCATCAATGAATCTAATTAACTGATCACAAGATGTCGTTAGAGGACAAGTGTTGGACTGCATTTCAGCTTGAAGATCACGAAGAAGCTGTTCGCGTACTACCATTAGTGAAGGAACTGAATAAAATCGAAAGAGGAGGAAGTAGTTTCCTTCATTTGTCTTCAAGTCATGGCTGGTTAGATGTTACAAAAGATCTCATTACTAAATATCACTGTGACCCACACGAAAGAGATAGTGATGGTTGGACTTGTCTTAATTATGCTGCACGATATAATCATGTTGATTTGATGAAATATCTCATTGATGAGTGTCACTGTGATCCAAAGGTTCCTGATGAGTTTGGAAATACTATTCTTCACAGAGTAGCTGATAAAGGATCACTTGATTTCATGAAGTACTTGATCAATCATCATCACTGTGATCCAAAGGCTACTACCAAGGATGGTGAGACTGTTCTTCACTGTGCTGCTGGACACATTGATATTGTAAAGTATCTCATTAATGAGTGTCACTGTGATCCAATGGCTACAACCAAAAGGAGCGAGACTGTACTTCACCTTGCTGCTGGACACATTGACACAGTAAAGTATCTCATTAATGAGTGTCACTGTGATCCAATGGCTACTGACATTAACAAAAAGACAATTCTTCATGAAGCAGCTCATTGGAACTCACCTGATGTAGTCAAATATCTCATTGATGAGTGTCACTGTGATTCAATGGCTGTTGACAGGGTCAGGTGGACACCTCTTCACACTACTGCCCATTATGGTAGTTCTGCAGCTGCTGAATATTTACTATCAACTGGTAAGTGTGACCCATTAGCTAAAGACAATTGGGGGAGCACACCATTTAAACTGGCTAAGGAGAGAGGTAACACCGATACTCTTTCTGTTTTGAAGAAGTTTGGTGGTATAAAATCATCTCATCCAATTGATTCTTATGTTAACATCCTCCTTGTGGGTAATCCTGGAGCTGGTAAAAGTACTCTTAGTCATGTCATCAATGATACGGTTACTGGTTCTATTGTTCTTGGTTCCTTTAGAAATGTTGGAGGGGTAGTGCCCTGTACTGCTGGTATCATTCCTTATAAACTACAACACAGGACACTGGGTAACATCATTCTTCATGATTTTGCTGGTCATTCCGAATACTACTCTAGTCACAGTGCTGTCATTGAGAATCTCTTACAAGGTTCTGGTGGTGTGTTCCTGATAGTAGTCAATATATTAGAGAAGGAACCAGTCAAACAGCTTCATCAGTGGCTAACAGTTGTCAGAAATGAAGCACACAAAGCTCTTAATCAATGCCATGTTATTGTAATAGTCAGTCATGTTGATGACATAAGTAATCCTGTTGAAAGGAGAAGGAGAAAGGAAGAAATACAGGAGATTATTGTAAAGGAAAGGTGTGATAGTGTCTTCTTAGATTGTCGTAAGCTTGGTGGGAGTGGTGTGGATTCCTTCTTTAGTAAGTTGTCTAGTGCCTGTGAGTCCATTCGTAGTACAAGTGGAAGCAATTTGAGTCTTTATTGTCACATGATGTATGGTCTACTGGAGGAAAGGAAAGAGAATATACTCACCCTCTCTGATGTAATGTCTGTTGGTAAGGACAATGATGATTACTTTATACCAGATAAGAGAGAAGACGTTTTGAATGTTCTTGATTCGTTGCACTCAACTGGTTTGATCAGTGTTCTTAAAAGTGAAGACAAGGTATGGGTTGTTGTGAATAAGGGTATACTACTAACTGAGGTGGATGGGATTCTCTTTGCTCCAGAGACATTCAAAGAACACGTTGACATTGCTAGCAATACTGGTATTGTTAGTGTGTCTGGTCTGACTAAACACTTCCCTAAATATGATCCTGACATGTTGATTCGTTTTCTGAAGAAAATGGAACTCTGTGAAGAAATTAATCCATCTTTCCTAAGAATGACAAACCTCCATCAGTTAGCAGTGGAAGAGGAGGAGGAGGGAGGGACAGAAACAAGAGGAGAAAGGTTGTTGCACTTTCCATGTCTTTTGTCTACTGATAGACCTGATGAGATGACTAGTCAAGTGTACCAGTTTGGTTGGTGTCTACAGTGTACTAGTAAACATCATTTCTTTCCTCCTCGATACTTCCATGTCCTCTCGTTACGTCTTGCTTACAAAATGGCTCTACCTCGAAAAGGCAACCAGTTAAAGCGACGTTGTACATTTTGGAAGAATGGACTTTACTGGTCTAATAGTCATGGTGTAGGATCACTGGTAGAGATTGTGGATGAGAGCCAGTGTGTACTAGTAATGATGTCCTGTAAGAAAGGTTACAGTGACAATATGGTGTCTCTAAGAAGAGATGTGATAGGAGAGGTAATGAGTGTTTATAAAGAATCCTGTCCCAGTCTAGAGGTAAAAGAGTTAGCTATTGATCCTAAAGAACTAGCCTATCCTGTGAATA